AAGCCCTACAACCCTAAGCCCTAAACCCTAAACTACCCACTAAGTTGGATTCACCCCAGCATCCATGACACGCAGACGGCTCTGAAAATCTGGATCGCTACGAGCTCCTTCAATGAGCTCCTGCAAAGATGGGTTTACTTCCTGGTGCTTAGTAGGGAATAGGGGAATAGAATCCCTATATAATCCCCATAGAATGTAGTCCCTTATTCCCTACTAACCCCCAGTAAGTTTAGGAGCTTAGGTTCGGGGAGTTTGGGCTTGGGGAGTTTGGGGGTTGGGGCGTTTAGGGGTTGAGGAATTTTGGGATTTCGGGTTATGGTTGAGGAGTTTGGGTTTGGGTGTGGGGTTTAGAAGTTTAGGGTTCAGGAGCTTGGGGTTTAGGGGAAGTTTGGGAGCTTAGTTTAGGAGTTTTCGGGGTTTAGGAGTTTAAGGGATTAGTAGGAGTTGCGGACTGTAGGAGTTTAGGGGTTTAGCGTCCTGCAAAGATAGCTGTCCACTTCCATCCTTGTCGATTCTGCCGAAAATCTTCGCCAAGGATTTTCCTTAGCACAGGTTGCAGCCGATAACGCAAGACAGAGCGGCATCTAGGATAGTTCCCATTCTCTTTTCCTTATTCACAGAAAGGGAAAATGCAAACCATAATTTTCATCCTCTCGTCCAGTCACACTGAGCTTTTGAGAAATATGTCTCTACCACCCCCCACAAACCCTAAACCCTAAAACCGGCAAACCGAACCCTCCACCCTAACCCCTCTGAATCCTAAGCCCGGCCTAAGCCCCTCAATCAGGCAAACCCTGAACCCCGAACCCCTCACAAGCCCGTAAACTCTGAACCTCAAACCCCCCAAACGCTAAACCCCAACCCCAAATTGAGAACAATGAGGTTCATGTTTTTTTTCGACTATTTCCAAATTCCCACAACTGCAATTTAACCCAAGACCGTGTGTCTATCGAAGTCAATCTCGTCCTCCATCTCCTCCGCTAAGGTTTGGACATCGTTGAGCCGGGCATCTGCAAAGGTGTCAACGACAACTGCAACCTGTTCCGAAGATGTGGGAAGGGCTCAGGGTTTAGAGGTTCAGGGTTTAGGGTTTTGGGCTCGGGCGCCTTGCGAGGGGTGTAGTGCGTTACATGGCATATAATTACAAGGGATGTGAAAGATGGCACGCTGACGGCTGAATCCTCTCAAGCGGATCCAGACTCAGGAAACCAGACACGCTTTGCTGCTGTGTCCCCTCCTGCATGCTTCCGTGTCATTCAAGTGCGTGCAGTTTATCAGAAAGAGCCTGGCTACCACTATGGCATCTTCCAGCTTCTTTTCATTGCGAATAGAAGAGAACATGGAAGCTACCATCATAATTGTTGCCTTCCTGCTCTCACAGGATGTTTTCTCTTGTTGCTGTTGCCGGAAATCGAACGCTCCGAACGTGGTGGCTGTCAAATCCCTGGCTACAAGGAACCTGTAAAGGGCCCACAATTTTTCAGAAACACTCAGTTGTTTTGCTGTGTTGTCTCTGTCTCCCCCCTTGTCCCTTACCACTTTCTCCTTCCCTCTTCTTCTCGGAGGCTCAAGCGCACCCCGCGTAAGTCTCTCGCTGGGTAAGAGAAAGGGGCAGCATACCTTCAGGCCACTCCACCATTTGCATCTGAGAAAATGAGAAATGCTAGACACCCTCACCTGTATCAGACAAACACAGAAAACTACTATCGCAGCTTGCGCTCTCTGTTACGTTATGACTGGAAACCCTCTGATTCAGACTTGGAAACGCCGCCACAGCTGCAACTATACCCCATGCCACCCCACTTGGAGGGCCCTGGTAAGCATACTGAAAACCTCATGTAAGCCACATAATATCACCAGTTATTCCCTATCTTAACTTACTTATTCAATCCCCCAAAAGACCCTGCGACTACAGCTTTTTACCGGGAAGACAATCGATCTTGCCAAGCCTCCCGCCCATAGTTTATTGTTAGGGTTTTGGGTTAGAGCTTAGGGTTTAGGGCGTAGGATTTGGGGTTATGGGTTATGGGGGTAGGGGGTATATAAGGGTGATAATGGGGTTATATAGGGGATAATGGCAAAGAAAATGAAAACTATAGTATATTGGGGTTATAAAGCGCTAATGGAAAAGAATGGAAACCACCATTTGGGTTTAGGGTTTAGGGATACAAACCCTATAGCCGAGAAGCAAATAGAAAGCAAATGGAAAACGAAATGGAGACTAGGTTTGTATGGAAATATGTGGGGTTTTGGCCTTAGAGTATGTCAACTTCCACCAAGCAGCGATGAGATTCAGAACTCCAAATACCAACGTCAGCTGAGAGCCGACGAAAATGAAGGCAGTTGCTGGATGTGCCTGCCAGCTGACTGGATTGCAAGCTTACGGCTCCTATGATCACTTGTGTGACGTCGACTACAACTACTCCTCCTACTACTACAACTCCTCCTCCCTCCTCCTCCTCCTACTCAGACTCCGACTCCTACTCCTACTCCTACCCCTACTCCTACTGCACCACCGCCACCGCTGCCACTACCACTGCCACTACAAATACCACTACCATTACCGAAGTGATGCCGGGTAAGCTAAGGAATCTGGCTTTGTTCAAACTATGGCTTTGGGGCAAACACTAATTTCAGCGAAGCCGTCTCTGATGCCCGCGCCCCCCCTTCCCGGAACCCTAAACCTACAAGCGCCTTAGGGCCTCAGGGTAGAAAGGGGCGTCCAAAAGTTAGTGCTACTTTTTTGGGGGTACCATACTGTAGACCCCTGATTAATAAACCTGCTCCTTTCAAGGGCCTTTAATTTTAGGATCCATCCTTATTATAATGCCTATTAAAAGAGTGGGAGCTTATTAATCACAAGTCTGGGTTAACAAGGATGATAATGTATTGGTATCTATGTGTGGGTCCCCCTATTTAGGGAAAACTACCATACGGGGCTTAGGGTTCAAATCGCAACTTTCCCCAGCCTGAATTACTGGGACAGCGACCTCGCCCCAGCTGTCACCAGCAATGACGGTTTTGAAAAGCAATAAATTTGCATCCATGACCTTGGTTGTGTTTCGCGGACAAAGAAATGTTTGTACTCCAAGACGTAAGGTGTAAGGAAAATCCACCTTGACCCAACACAAACTCCTTCTGAAAAAACCTCCCAAGTGATGGCTCAATGCAATGGGAAAAGTCTCATGCGAATCTTTCGTTTCTTGCTAATGCTTCAAGGCAACACCCGCAACAGTGCATGAGAAAGCGGCTTCCAAAAAATAATTGGTGATTTGCACTCACAGGTAGGGCTTGTATGTAAGCCGTACCATGTATCAAGCAGAAAACATCATTGTCAATGACTCCAAGGGGCCGAAGATGTTGCTCTTCTACATTGTGGGCAATCTTCGAAAACGCCCTCATTTGAGTGCATCTCCCGCACGAAAGGATTCACAGTTTCCACCATTAACATAGCCCAGACAGTCATCACCAGGAAGCATAACCTTTGTGTTGGTTGATCAAGAGTAGAAACGTGATCTGTCGCTCTTCTTCGTTTTTGTCGCAAAGCAAAGTGGTGTTTTTCCCGAAGGTTGGGATCTTTGTATAACTTCGTTTAAAAAAGCAACAATCGTTTTTCCTTATGATCAAGAAGATCCGATAGCGTTGCTACTTGGCTTGCTCAGATCACCCACAAAAATTATCAGAACCACGGCCCAGCAACAGAAATGACCACAGCAGTGTCCTGAAACACGTGGCCATCATCATCACCTTTCCCCGCAACCCTGAAAAGAGCCACCACGCTGATTTTGGGTTGAAGGCTTGGGGACATTTGGTACCATATGCAGTTGTATCCCATAATTGCAATTGTCGACAACCCACTGCAACAGTCTATTTTCTACATCCTCCCAGCGGTTTGGGTCTGGCCTCAATCAGCAAAAGGGAAGAATTGCGGCTGTATGAACGGAGGGTCTGCTGCTACGCAAAAGGAATTTTGCGTGAGAGTAAGACTATTGCTGGCGAAAAGACACAAAAACTAGCCAAGCTTTTACAATTAGCTCGGAGCGCCTGCAATCCAGCACAGCAACGCAAAAACAAACCTAACTTGCTCAAACAACTATACAACGGGGAGTCATGCGTGCTCAACCTGTTCTCCGAGTTAGTTTGAGCGAATTATGATGCAGTGGTATGCCAAATAGTCACCATGCGCATGCCCGAAATCATGAAGCTGCCGCGCACGCTATTCCTAATCGTACCCGTTGTGTATGGTGTTCATTGCAGTTACTTGGGCTCTTCAGCAAAAAATCCGGCTTCTGAGTTGGTCTCAAATGCTGGCTCGATTGGAAGGGTTAGTAGTAACCAGGGATCAGCCAGCGTGATTGACGTGAAGGCCAATAAAGGGCTCGCTCTGGCACCCAACACACAACTTTGACGATACATGTGTGGGCGGCACGAGCGAGACCAAGTTTGATGTATCAGGTCGAATTAGGTGCATGATTTCCCGTCATG